AGGCAGTTTAGCATTTGGGGTGAGTAAGCATTTTCACGCCTCCTACCGTTTTTTTTAAATCATTTTTCTACCCCATTTTTCTGTCCCTATGGCTTTGTGCCCTAGACGGCTGCCCCACTCACCCCACCCATAATGGATGTTAGGGTTTTGTGAGGATAGCTAGGAGAATAGATGTTTGTGTGGCTTTTATAGTATTAATGTGTTTATTTGTTTATTCAGCCTTTTTCTATTATTTCTTATATTCAGTTCTCCTATCCACCCATTCCTTTAAATAAAGCCACTCAGGGTGGGCTGATCACCTTCTGCGTTTTCACTCTTCAGTTTGTGAGTTTATTGATTCCTTTAGACTGTAAGTACTGCTCCCTCTAACTTAAATTGTTACTCTGAGTTCAGTTGAAAAGTTCGTGGATAGTACTAAAGCCTACCCACTTTGCTCACTAACTGGGGTGTGTGACTAATGGGTCTGGGAGTAGTAAGGATACATGGACCACCTCCTCTACTTGCCTTGGGTGTGGGCCAAGGCACAGGGGGAAAACTCAGGCTTCCACTGGTTCTCTTGTCCCTTTCCTCCCGATGGCCCACAGTTTGGGGGTTGGAGGAGGCAGTCTCCCACAGCATCCAGACTCTGAGTCTGTCCTACCTGATCCTGCTGCCTGTGAATGACTGAGCTCATGACAGACCCACGTGGATCTGAGAGTAGGAAGGAGGGATCATTTCTGCCCATTGCTGGATGGTATCCAGTTTTGCTTTGCTTAAGCCCCACCCTTCCCTCTTATTTAGTGAACTGGATCTCTTACTATGCCAGGTACTAAGCCTATTGCCAAATTTTGTTTTGGGGTCTGGAAGAGATTTTTCCCATACAGCACAATGGCTATATGTTTTGGTTCTTTTTTTTTTCCACTTTCCATCCAGCACGCCAGAGTGCCAGTTTTTGAATTTACATTACATTTATTGCAACATTGTGGTTGGTGGGTTAAAAAAAGGGTCTGATGTAAGGTTTCTGTAACCCAATGTGCATCTCGGGCAGGGCCCCTGACCATGACATTACATGGTGAAAGGGTTTGCTTCCATGTCTAACACAGCATTTGGCTCCCCTCATCTCATCGCTCCTACATCCTGCATGCAGGAGGGGAATAGGTTGGGACTCTGGCTTCCACCCAGTGTCCCTGAGCAGGCGTGGGGGTGTTGAAGGGCATGGTCTCAGACCCAGTGTAGGTTTGTACAACCCAGGGCCACTGGAACAGTTCTGATGGGTAGTGTTTCCTCCTTGGTTAATAGTTTAATGAAGTCATGATATCCACATTTAACCATATTCTGGCAAGCATGTCTCACAGTTTCTGTGTCCACATCAGTATTTGGAGACTATTTCTCCAGATGGAGATACCATATGGCTTTATTGCAACAGGAATCTGGTATGTAAACATCTGCTTCAGTTGAGAAATGCCTTTCATTCGGTTTAATGAATCTAAGCCTAATAATTAAAGACTTTTGCACAGAGGATGGCACTGTTATCCAGAGGCAAGATTTTCTAGGTGAAATGCTGACATGCCTATTGACTTCAATGGGGCCAGGATTTCACTCCCTATCAGGAGAGGTGTTATATATATATATATATATATATATATGTACACACACACATATACATATACACATACATACGATACTTTAAATATATGTAATATATACATCTAACATATATTTATATATGTATATATAATTTATATGTAAAGCATCTTCCTTTTGTTTTGTTTCAAGACTTTTGTATATTCAAACAGAAGAAAGGAGAAAAGTTATGGAATCTAGTGTGAAGATTTTGCATTTTTTTCTGTTGATTCGAGTATACCAATTGGTTAAGTCATTACAACTATTTTACTAGTGGGGAAAAATAGGCAATGCTGGAGATCATTCAGTTTCTAAGGTGGCTCTTGAAAAATATAAATATTATACCTTTTGTGTAAATATTAACTGTTAAACTGGGGAAACTTTTGGGATGGGGGAAGCCTATACAGGAAAGATGGGCTCCACTTAAACCAAAGTGGAACCAGACTGCTGGCACTTAACATGAAAAAGGTTGCAGAGCAGTTTTTAAACTAGGAGATGGGGGAAAGCCGACTGCTGCAGAGGAGCATGTGAATTGGACAGAGACTTCTCTTAGGGTACGTCTATACTTACCTCCGGGTCCGGCAGTAAGCAATCGATCTTCTGGGTTCGATTTATCGCATCTTGTCTAGATGCGATAAATCGATCCCGGATCGATCCCAGAAGTGCTCGCCGTCGACGCTGGTACTCCTGCTCCACAAGAGGAGTACGCGGAGTTGGCGGGAGAGCCTGCCTGCCACGTCTGGACCCGCGGTAAGTTCGAACTAAGGTACTTCGACTTCAGCTACGTTATTCACGTAGCTGAAGTTGCGTATCTTAGATCGAAGTGGGGGGTTAGTGTGGACCAGGCCTTAGAGGAGAGTGTATTGATATAGATTCTTTAAGTTATAGTCAGGAGCGGAGGATGGAAGAGGATAATGTAAGGGCCAGATCAGATGAGAAACATTCACATAAAAAAATTGCACACATCAGAAAAGGGCAGACAAATAAACAGTGACAAGTTTTTAAAGTGCTTGAATACAAATGCTAGAAGTCTAAATAATAAGATAGGTGAACTAGAGTGCCTCGTGATAAAGGAGGATATTGATATAATAGGAATCACAGAAACCTGGTGGACTGAGGACAATCAATGGGACACAATCATTCCAGGGTACAAAATATATCGCAAGGACAGAACAGGTCATGCAGGGGGCAGAGTAGCACTATATGTGAAAGAAAATGTAGAATCAAATGAAGTAAAAATCTTAAGTGAATCCACATGTTCCATAGAATCTCTATGGATAGTAATTTCATGTTCTAATAAGAATATAACATTAGGGATCTATTATCGACCACCTGACCAGGATAGTGATAGTGATGATGAAATGCTAAGTGAAATTAGAGAGGCTATCAAAATTAAGAACTCAATAATAGTGAGGGATTTCAATTATCCCCATATTGACTGGGAACATGTCACCTCAGGACGAAATGCAGAGACAAAATTTCTTTCTGCTTTTGATGTACTCCACTTTATTCAATACATTATATTTTGTTTGGCATCTCAGAGTAATACTTCATTTAGCATATTAACACAGCTAAGCACATAACATTTTCTGCTGTTTTTATTATCTAAAGAGAACATGTTCTCTACCCGCTGTAATGGCAGAATCTATTTTACTGAGAACACTGACTTAAATAGACAATTATATTCATTTTTCCCTCTTCAAAAACCTAACTCAGTTTCTTGCTAAGAGTGCTTTGTGGTTACTATTTTTAAATGGGAGATTTGGATCTCAGAATGAAGTTACAAGACTAGTGTGTAATGTTTCTGACCATGTGAGTATTCAAATTCTAGAAAGCAAGAACTGCAAGCTGGAGAAGGATCTGTACAAAGAGAGAGGATAGTTTGCTTTGTTAGTTGGTTCCCAAGGAAAACAGGTTCTACCAAAAACCTGCGTGATGCTGAACAAGTCACAATCTCTTTACGTCTCAGTTTCCTCATTGTGAGAGTAGAAATACTAATCTATCATACTGGGGTGTTACATGAATTAACACAAAAATGTTGCAAAGCATTTTGTGATCTCTCAGTAGAAGGTGACACATTGATGCAAGATACTGATATATTTGTGTGTGTGTGTGTGTGTGTGTAGCAGGTGAGATTACTTGATTCTAATTTTGTTGTTTGGGCACTAACTTTTTCACATCTTTGCATATTTTTATACTATAGGGAGAAGTGGGTCAACTCCTGGGGATCTTAAGTGTAATGTGCACCATCCTATGACATAGGCCCCTACAATTTTACTGCCTCTGTTCATCCTCACTGTGACAGATTTGGCTAACATCTCCCATTCCACACACATCACACTATAAAATATAACAAGATCTCATCTATCCACACCTTGTATCTTCAATAGTGGTTAACACCCTTTTTTCAATAGGGTTTTAGTAAATAAGGATATAGTGTACACATATGGTAGCAGCCTGAAACAGCAAGAACTCTGATTGAAGGTACAAAGCCTAATTAATCAAAGCCCAGTGTTCAATCTAGTTTGTTATTCAGCTGTGACACTGATTAGTGTGGTTAGAGACAAATACAACATTTTTCTTCAATGGTAAAAGTAGTAATAATAATAATAATATATGGAGATATACCTATCTCACAGAACTGGGAGGGACCTTGAAAGGTCATTGAGTCCAGCCCCCTGCCTTCACTAGCAGGACCAAATATTGTTTTTTGCCCTAGATCCCTAAGTGGCCCCCTCAAGGATTGAACTCACAATGCTGGGTTTAGCAGGCCAATGCTCAAACCACTGAGCTATCCCTCCCCCAATTAGTGTATAATTCAGATATAGGTCAGTGCAAATAATGCCAATTACTATTGTTTAAACTAGGTGTCTTTGAATCACCACATCTGCAGAACAACTAGTCTAATCAACATGAGCCACTCTCTAAACAGTTAAGTAATAAACTGGACTGCGTGTTTTGGAATTTACCCACCAATCTATGCTCTTGAGTTTATCAAAACGGATCAGCTTAAACAAGGAGCAAATTCAGATTCACTTCAACCTCTTAACATTTTGGGGGAATATAATTAGAGGAGACACTTGCTTATGGGGAAGTGAAGTTGGCTTTCAATATTGATTGAATGTTTGTAATTTACATTTGGTGTTGGGAGTAAAAATCTAAAAGATATAGGTGTCTCCCAGAGATCTGCAGAGCAGCAAATGCAACAATCAAACAATCATTGCTTCTAATCTGCTGTCTAGGGATGCATTTTCAATGCAGTGCCTAATGCAGTGAGAGAAACGCCACTGATGGTTGCCGCATTGTTAACACTTCTTGCTCCACAATGAAAATTAATCACTTGAAAAAAGAGCCAGGCAAATTTAGAAAGTAGGAAATATACTGAGAAGCTGCCTTACCTCCATCTAGTTCTTCAGCTCCAAAATGATTCCTGTAGAAGAGCATAATCTCAATCTTGTAACACTTGTAGATAGTCACTAAACAAACAAGCAGCAGCAGAATAGCACCAAGCCCACCAGCAAGCTCAACTGTATACATCAGCTCTGCAAAGAATTATAAAATGTAATAACCACATTCAGCACTGGAGAAAGGTTAACACTGGAGATATTTTGCAGTTTGAAGATAACAGTAGAATACAAATGCAGGATTTTTGCACTTAATTTTCCAGATTATTGATGGGACACTTTGAGAAATGTACAGATAATGCAGTTTTTCCTTTATATATATGTAAATACCCTCATACCACATTTTAAATAGGTTATGTGAAAAGTCAGTCAACTATTTTTACTCAGTGTTCTGTGCTGGGTTTAATATATATCTGTATATCACTGTTTTGTTTGCAATAGATATATGATGTCACACCATTCATATTTTAAGCACATATAACTGCTCTCCTTTTGTGGAGCTGAAGGCAGACATAACCCTCTTCCTCCCACCTCACACAAAAGATCAGAACACACAGCTATGTTTCATGATGGGTTTCTGTCAATTGCATTAGATTAAAGAGAACCATTTTACTTTTTCAAAATATAAATAAAAATGCTTGTGGGATATGAAGACAAATCATCCTGGGAACCCCAAAATCCCATTCCTCAATTATGTGTTAATATCTTTGACACAGTTTCCTGTTAATCTGTAATTCATCTCCCCCCTTTCCCCCCGGTTCCCTCTAAACAGGAAGGTCTTTTGTTTAGATGTTGCAAATCATCACAATTTGTCAGTTCAGACATTCAGATTCAGAGCATGACCGCTCTTCCTTTGTTACATTGGACCACTGGAGATTCACATGATAGATGGAGATCATTGTCATGCAGTTGAATCCCTCAGGATGGAGAATACAATCAAATGCAGCCATATCTGTCTGACAACAGCAATCTCCTTGGTGATGTCATTTATCAGATAATAACAATAACCTATAGTCATCATTGTCTGTTGTTCCTACTTCCAATAGTTGAATACTCAAGAAAGCAGAAGTCACTCTTTTGAGTCCATTTTTTGTTATTATTCTCACTACTTTTCAAATAAGAAATCAGAATGCAAAAAGAAAAAAAAATAGTGCAAAGCTCCAAAGGGTTTGTTTGTTTGTTATATTAAAATTAGAGAGGAGCAGTGACTTGGTATATCCCAGGAAAACCCATTAATTTTAAATATTTCTAACCTCCAGTTTTGAAGAAGAACTGGGACAGGATTTAGAAATTGAATGGACACATTTTAGCTGATAACTGGAAGAGAATACAGAGTTCCTTAAGGAAAACTTTATATAATGCATTACTAAGGGGCACTGTGCCCTATAAACAACATCCTGTCTTCGTAACATTTGCCTCCATTTGGGCAGCATGTACTTGGGTTAAGTAATGTAAACTTTCCAGTTATCCAGGTAAATCTTTTTGGTTATGCATATGTAATAATACATTATTATACAATTTAATTAACAAAATAAAAGATTAGAGAAAAGTTCCATTTAATTTTACTATGTTTTACCAATAAATGGACACTTTTTATTATTCTGATACACACAACTGTTAAAAAGGTTTCATTGTTCCCCAGAGGACACTAAAAGTGTAAAACAATGAAATAAAAGTATTTACATTCCATATAATTAGTGTCTAAACTGTGGTAGAAACTCCTTTGTGTTAACATTTTTAAGACCAGTGCTTGTTATTTCATACTTTCAGTACTTTTCTGGTCTGTAGGGAGGAGGCTTACTTAAAAAAAAAATAGTTTGCATAGGCTAGTAATACAATATATTTGAAAATAAATGGAGATGGAAATTACACTACACTGGCTTACAGCAGCCTGTTTATCATTTTGCACCACAAGTGATGCAGCTGTTCAGTGGTAACCAGAATATGGGGAATTAATATGCTATGTTGCTAGGTGCAAAATATACAACTTATATGCCTGCTGTTACGATGCATTAAAGGCAAGAAAAACTTTACTATTCAAAAACAAAATGTTCCCCAAATTAACAATAGAGCGATTAAATAGAAAACACGGTATGTAGTTGTCTTTCCACCATCAATGTGCAAACTAATATGCTATATAAAAAGTAGTACTTTGGTCAATACAGAGTCTGTTTTAAAGTACATTTTCCACTATTGGAATTATAAACATCTCTAGAGCAAGTATAGCATGTATAGTTATTTCCTTTTAATAAAATCAATCTGAATTCATATAGTATTGCCTCATAACCATTGACAGAGCAACACAGCAACATTCATAAGAGCATTCACTGATCCTAAGGGTATGTCTACACTGCACCTGGAAGCATACCTCCCAGTCCAGGTAAACAGACTGGCACTAGCTTGGTTGCTCAAGTAAGTGTTAAAAATTGCAGTGTGGCCGTTGTGGTAGTGGCACAGGCTAGCCATCTGAGTACCAGCCCGATTGACCCCCTGGGTCCGTACAAAGCTTTCCTGTGCCTTGGTTTCTCCATCTGTAAAATGGGGATAATGATACTGACTTCCTTAAAGCACTTTGAGATTGACTGATGAAAAGTGCTGTATAATAGCTGGATATTGTTATGTATTGACCATTAACACTAGACTGTAAGCAAAGGTAGCAAGACGTACTTGTCTTCACACTCCATTGCTTTATTCTATCTTTTGTATTAAACTTTGGGCATGGTTGCTACAGCAAGTGTTACACTGTCTTTGAAGTGTGATGTGCTTTTTCTGCTCAAGTTCAAGTTGCTTGGAGTGGCAGCATTTTAAAAAGGTTCAGTTTCAGCACAATTCCACATCAGAGGGAGAAACAAAAAGTGCAAACCTTTTAAAATCTGTTTAGCCTTTGTATGATGATGTTAAAATTACAAACCTTGCCCTGTTTAAGGGACTGAGACTGAATGGTGAAAATTGTAAAGGAAAATTACCAGGCAGAACCTTAGGGGAACTGGCATTCTGTTAAACGCAACAAATGAACAAGTGGCAAAGAGTTACATTCAAGAGCACAGCAATTATTTAGTTACAGGCAATTAACAATAGTCCTTCAGCAGAACAAGAACGGGTCTACTCTAAGGGAAAACACATTGATTACTGCTGCAGTAGTAGATTGGTTTCTGAATAAATTGCTTCCATTTAAAATGAGATTTGCTACAAGCATTTTGACCAATGGCTACATTTTTTCTGTTTATCAGGATGGTTTGGCCAAGCAATCCAGTGAAAGAAACTGCTAATTAAAATAAAGCACATGCCCTCTCTAAACATACAGAATGATATGGGTGGTAATAAATGCACTCATTTTACACTAATCCTACTGTAATTATCAGGTGCACTTCTGGGATGTATCTTTGATCTGCACCTGGCTTTAATTTTTGATAAACCTCCTCAGCAGTGGCACACAGGTTATTTATTTATTTACCGCATTTGTACAGAGAAGTAAATAAATAAAAAAAAAAGATATCCCCTGAGCTTCATACCTTAGACTAATTTGGCTTCCTTTGGAGACTAGTTGTTACTCTGTATACAATTGAGTTATGCTTTGGATATTCTGGATACCTATAAGTGGATGTGAAGGAGTGTACTTCCTGTTTAAGAGACAGGCTGGACCTACAGCTGGGAAAGCCTGGGGTAATCAAGGAGGCCTGGCCCTACCCTGAGCTAGGCCCAGGCTATATGAAACAGAAAGAGGAAACTAAATAAGGGAAAGGGAAGTAAAAGCCAGGCAGGCTGAAGTGGGTGGTGGTTTCTCTCAAGCTCCAGGAGACCAGCCTAATCAGATTGGGAGACCTGGTGTTGTGGACATTAATTTTGGGAGCTCTGAACCGGGATCCCGAGGAGAGGACCTAACAAACTGTTTATTGTAATTGCTTCTGTCCTGAAGCCTTATTAAAATGGGGTCATTTTGTTAATGTGTGTTGGCTTCTCCTTTCCTCAGGCAAAGTTATTACTGTGAAACATTGAGGTACACCTGCAGCACCACACCAGGCCAAAAGGGGACACAGAGGGACTGCCAACACCTTTACAGTGGATATGGGATTTTATAGCTGTGTAACTATACTACTATGTCAGGCCTCAATCTTGAAATGACTTACACAGATTTCTTAACTTTAAGGACTGTGAGTAATCTCATCAAAAGCAGTGGGACTACTCAGACTCTCTCAGATTAAGCATGTACATAATTCTCTGCAGCATTGGGGCATAAGGTACCTATTTCTGTCTTTTCTATATTCTTACATGATTCTGCTTATCTTGGACAATCAAGTCCCACAGCTTGTATAGGTCAACCTATGCCTCTGAAAGTGTGGGTTGAGAATTCTTACATAGCACTGCCCTGACCAAGACCAGGGATCTGGGAGCAAGTTTAGTACTATCGCTAAGGTTTTCCATAGAGGTGCCGTACTGCAGCTTTCTTGGGAATGAAAAGGCCAATAGCCTTACTGATTTATGAAACAAGGTTATAGAATGTCTTGGGTTATATATTTGGTCTCAAAATATATACTGATTAGATCTGAGATTGTGTATAATAGTGGCAGAAAACTTTTTTTTCCGGGGGAGCGGGGAAATCAGAGAGAAGATCAAATGTACACTTTTGGCTGTATATAAACTATATCTAAAGTAACTATGAATCACGCTAGGAATTCTTAGAATTGGTCCGACAAACAAAGAACATGCAGAGTTCTTAGATGACTACTAGAACATTTTTTTTTCTACAATCATTTCTTATTTAAGAAAATAGCTGATGATAATTCCCATTCTGTTGCTCTTTCAGAGTGAAACCTGGAAAAAGCTTTTGCTAGCATATAAACAGATTGTCTTGTATAATATCAGATATACAAGTTTAATACATTAACAAACATAGTGGTTCAGAGTTTTATTATAATGGAGTTTTGTTTCTATTGGGAACTTACATTTTTGCCTAATTGTTGAAGTCATTAGGAACAATTAACAGACATTCTAGTGTAAAAACCTGTTAGTAACATATCTCATATGATAAGCTCCCATTTGAAATCTTGGAAGTCTTACAGAATTTCGGTATATTACGGCAGAGGGAACTATTAGACCTGTAGTTTGTTTGCGAAGGTTACAAAAGGAGTTGCTCCTTC